GACTTGTCCTTTACAGAGGACAGGACTCTGGGTACATTCTCCCGGATGAATGAATGAGCCTTCATAACAAGACGAACCTGTAAAACCAAGAGAGTATCAGTTTAATATTCTCACTTTCTCAACTTTCCTATAAAGACTGGATCAAGCATCTTAAGGCAACACCATCAACATCTTTGTTTCTCTCCAATTTACCCTTTTTACAAGGAAAGGGCTGCTTCCTCTGCCCAGAAGCCTGTTTAACTGTCATGAATCTAAAACTCTGCAAGGTGAAACATGCAGTAACAATCATGACTCGGGAGCAGTAAAATACATCTCATTTACACTCACAGGACCACAGCATGCGCAAGGACTCTGAATCACACTAGTAAGCCACTAACCAATTAACATTAACTTATAATTGAAGCAACCCCCCCCAAACCTATCCATTTCAATAGGCCAGTATGTTTCAAAGTCTTGAAACTGACTCTTGAAGTTAAATGTGTTCTACAGCAATTACCACTACAATGGAATAAGGTGGTACCGCACAGAAATAGTTCCTGAAGGACCAAAAGGAGGGCTAGCCCAAAGTTAATTCTTCAAGCCTACACTCTCATCTCTGACCACCCTTGTTTTAACCTGATGATCTGACCAGTCCTCTACACTCTTGCACTCTTCCCCCCCTCCCCTCGAAAAAGAAAATTCCACTCTCCGAGTTCTGACTACAAGAGAAAGACAGTTTCTTCTTGGGAACAGAAAGGGAAACAGGAACCACTTGTTGATTACGTACATGGCTTTTTTTTTTTTTTTTAAAGAGGGATGTTACAGCTTCCTTGTGAACTATGGCACAACAGGTTTTTAGAATTGGTTTTAAGCATTTAACACTCACAAGAGAATTAGAAATAAATGGAATTTCAGCCTTGAAGTATGTTCAGAAACAAACCCCAGTAAAATCTTAAATACAGGGTAAAAAACCTAAGTCATTTCCAGGTCAAAATGAAGTTTACTATCTACTTTTTCTCATTAATCTTGCTGCATTCAAGTCTGTCTTCAAGTCAAAGAAACCCCATACACAGCCATGGTTTAATTTAGTGAATAAAAGCAACACTTGAGTCCTTAGGAAAAAGGACCCTTTCCATTTTGAAAACAAGATTCAATATATCCAAAGATATCAGGGGTAGGGACTTACCTGTTCCAATATTACAATAAAACGGGAAGCTGGAGGCAGGGCATATGATACAGCAATGTAGGTTGGTCCAAATCCAAGCCCAGCTGTTTGGAAGAGTGTGAACAATGTCCCATAGAAAAGAGACCGGAGTACACGATGGGAGGAACTGCAGTAGCCTTGGGCCCACCAGACAAAAAGCTTGTATGGAACAGTAACTGTGGCACAGAACATGCACAGCCAAGTACAGAAGACGACCGGGAACTTTCCAAAAACAAAGACCAAGAGATCAAATCCTAGGACCAGCCTAGAAGGCACAAGGAAAGAGACAATATTCAGTGTCCACTGTTTAACTAGAAATACTTCTACTCCATTAAGTGGCTACAAAGCTTCCGGATCAAAATTGTTTGACAGTCTAGATAGAAGCGACTGTGGCAATTTTCAGCTCAGAAACAGAGGGCTGTCCGTGGCAGATTTAAGTGACCACCCACAAGCACATCAGAAAATAAGAGATGAAGGACTCATGCCATCAATGCTGTCAGGCACAGCTTACCTTCAAATCCCACAGGGCTTAAGCACATCTTTAAGATCAGCATGTGCTTTAAGAGTATGCTCAAGCTCATCCCTGCTAAGAACAAGC